TTTTTTTGGCAGTTTTCCAAATGATGAACAATAGAAGGAAAATATACTAAAATTGATGATTTTTATTGTTAACTTTTTTTTGGTCTTCTGATAGATAGTAATGATAAACCAACTAATGGCAGGTTGGAAGATGATAAAGAGACCCAGCTTCTGAAAATGTGTGAACACCGAAGGTAACTACTGCACCTTTAGTTGTAGATATATGCATAGCTAAGTGCACTTTAGATTGGTTTCCTGTCATTTTTCTGTTTTTTCTCTAAATAGGTGATTTTTAATAAGCTTTCTCCTGCTTACCTACATGGGGAAGGATAACTAATCTGATTTCATTGCAAAATACAGGATTTGCAGACAGCAAGTGAGAGTGTCTTTGGGAAAAGTTGATCACCATGAAGGTATGTCCAGTGATGATGAGCTTCCTCCAACAGAGATGACTGAGTTCCAGAAGAGCAAAGGTTGGTGCCAAGCTTTGTATACTATACAAGAACAAAACTTCTGTCTTTCTGCTTTTTAAAAATTTGTTTTAGAAAAGTTGAAGAAATACTGCATTTGAATTGTGTCTTAGTTACACATTAAAAAATAAGTGCCTTCAAACAATTCTGTTTAATGGCTTGAAGAGAAGGTATAGATGCATGGTTGTAGATTTCTTTCAGTATGATTTTTTACTGTGGTGGCATTGCTTATAGCTGGTTACAACCTGAAATAAGCTCTGCTAGGTTATACCAGAGTGGGTCTGCCATTACTTGATGCAAATGTGTCTTGTAAAACACCTGATGAATTGTGTAGTCAGTTTGTTTTCTGAAGATAGAGTGAATTAAAGGATATTGTTTTAATTGTCTTGAATAGGAGGGGGAAAGACAAAACCAATATGATTCTTAAAAAAAAAAAAAAAAAAAAAAAAAAAAAAAAAAGTATTTTCTATAGAAAACAACAGAAGGGTTTTCAGGTTTGAAGTTACAGCAGTCATGGTATAAGGCTTGAAAGATGGTGGTCATATTAGTTTGTGGAATAGTTCATGAAGAAACTTGCGTTTTTGTAGTTGTTTGCCAATATCTTTATTTTTTTCTCTCTGAAATCAAGTTCTTTGTGGAGTCTGTTTTAGATTCTTTTGTTAGACACATAAATGACAACTGTGATCATATAGATTTCTTATGACCTGTAGACACACAAATTCTTCACCTTATATGTCAGTAAATGCTGGTTTTGTTTCTTTTTTTTTTCTCAATGAATGTTATCTGCAGATGATATTTCAGAGGATAGTAGGAAAATCTTTGAAGATGTTCGTGCTGATTTTTCTGACATTGGGCAAATCCTGTTGAAATTCCAGGAATGGAAAGAGAAGTTTCCTGACTCCTACTGTGATGCTTACATCAGCTTATGCCTGCCAAAGCTTTTAAATCCACTAATCAGAGCCCAGTTAATAAGCTGGAATCCTCTTGAGGTAGGTGCATCAACATATATCTTAAGGAAAAATTGTGTGTGTGTGTGTCATATTTGACTGCAGTACTTCTGAGTACTACACAGAAGCAGTAGGCAGTAGTCAGCAAAGTCTGTTATGGTTATGGGTCTTTAACCATCTTCATGAACCTGTTTATGTGTTTTTGAATTTGTGTCTCTGTTAATAGGTGAGATGCATGGCTATTGGTGGCAGCTTAAAATGTGTCTCATGAGAAACAGTCTGCAGTGAAGATGTCTTCACTGGAATTCTTTTTTTCATAGCTAGTATGGGGCCTACTGGAACCTAAGTATCCTGCCTAGAGAAGAAAGTTGATTTCTTGTCTTTTTTGTTCATGAATCGCTTCTTTTCTGTGTTCTAATAGCAAAGCCATACGTAGTTCTTTCCAGTTTTGCATAGCACAGTGCACTGGAAATCAATAAAAAGATACTGTGTTGCCTTTTTTTTTTTTTTTTTTTTTAAATAGCATGTGGCTAGGTTTTTGGTTGTTTTTAACTTATTTTTCCTAATCCCCTTTTGCAACACCCTCCTGCAAGAAAGTTCTTAGAAATCTTTCTTTGACAACCCCAGCTTTAAAGTTTCATTTTTTTAGTTCTAGTTTTCCTGATTGACTCTTTTGGCCTGGTCAGTGATTGCATTACATCTTAAATTGAGAATGGGACATATTTTTGTGTGGAGCATTTCTATCAATTCTGCTTAGCTAATAGTAATCATCTTTCAGCAGAATTTCACAGAGTTGGAAGAAATGCCCTGGTTCAGAGCTATAGAAGAATTCAGTGATGCCGAAAACGTGCCTGGATCAAAAGGAGATGATCCTGATCAGACAGTCTTGCCTAGAGTGATTGAAAAAACGATTCTTCCAAAAATTACAGGTATGTTAAGTTTGTCTTGAAAATGTTCACTGCAGGTAGGCAGTCAAACCTTTAAGACAATGGTAGTCATCAAGTAATGGTGTAGTTATAATTTGAAGCAGGGTTCCAACATGTAATGATTACCCACTTCCACAGAGTGAGGAGACCAGTGTAGACACGTGAGACTGTTGTGAGAAGATTTATCTCTCTAGCATGCAACAGAAGTAAACGTTTAATGCTTTGAAACTAGAGCTGGTAACCATTTGAGTATCATGGTGACAAATTCCTATATATATTTTTTGTCAGGGTTTATAAAGAATGTGTGGGATCCTTTATCTACTGCACAGACAAAGAACCTTGTACAGCTTTGCAACAGCATCTTTGAAAAGCAAGTTTCATCCAAAAGTGAGCGTGGTCAAGCAAAAGAGGTAAAAATCAGTGTGGTTCTGGAGAAGCAGGAGAGGGGAAGAAGGATGGGTCTTGTGCATTGCGTGTGCTTTCTGTACGTGCTGCTTATGTGCACCTAGAACATTGTCCTGAAGTTGTTAGTTCATTTTATAGCAAGGAAAATTTAAAAGTTGAACTTTTAGCTCTCAGAGGATCCTTATTGAAGGGGATTGAGGACTATCTTTGGGCAGAAATTAATTCTTACCTGATAAGAATCTGATGAAGACCTACTCTTGCTCACCCGCACAAATAACTTTAAAATTTTAAACTTCTGTTTAAGTATCTTTTGGAATGTGAGCTTAGATGCTAGTTATGCTCCAGTGGTCAACTCTTTAAATTTATGAGTGAGTTCCAGAATAGTGAAGACGACAATTCTTTTTTTTTTTCCTATAGAAGACATTTTTTAAAAAAAACCCCAAAGAACAATATTAATTAGCTAGGTAAAAGTTTCCTAATCTTTTAGTACTCTTTAATAATTACTTTCGCACCATTAAGTCAGTGTGTGATGCACTGTCCCAAGCTGATTCAGGTTTTATTCTGATGTAAATCTAGATTTTTCCCTAGCATAAAACTGTGAAGCTGGGTGGAGTTTTTAGCTCTTGGCCCTATAAACAAAAGCTGAAATCTTCTTATTGAGGGGAGACATTAGTAACTTTTTCCCTCCTTAATAGGATTTGATAAATGCAGTTGTCCTAAGAATGAAGAGGTCTGTAGAGGAAGATGTCTTTATTCCTCTGTATCCTAAAAGGTAAGCTCAT